CGTTTAAGTTACTTGTAAGGTAGGTTGGTAGGACGTTCCGGTTTCGGTTGGTCGGCGTTCCTAGTGGTAGGCGTCCACTGCTGTGTGTGTGTGTGTGTGTGTGTGTGTGTGTAGAATGCATGTTTTTGTCAAATGCCTAAAATGGTTCGTGACCTCAAAGAGGATAAAACCCACTGCTTTGGACAGGGATGAGGGGGAGCACCTGAACGTTTTCGGGGCGGTGTCACCGTCCTTCCATTCGATGGCCTCGGCAGGCAGCGAGCAGAGGAGCTGAATCCGGGAGGCGGGTCCCCTCCCTGGCTGCGAAAACGAACCGCGGTTCGAAGGGTTCTCGAGGAGTGAAAAAACTGAAGAGGACGGGATGGGAAGGGAAGAGTCGGGGGTGAGGGGAAACTTAGAAGGTAAACCAGTAGGACTGGTTGGCTGGTGGGACTGGCTAGTGAAACCAAGGGTTTGAGTAGAAAGAGGGGCTCTCCCTGGGTTGCTCTGAGCTCCATTCTGGGATTTGGGACGGAAAGAGAAAGGCAGAGGCTCCGGCTGGATCCCTTGCCCGCTTAAACAGTGTGTCAGAGCTTGCAGGGCCGGCGAAGAGGTGGGTCTGCCCCTACGCAGCCCCACGAGCCCCTACCCGGGGACGGGTCCCCGGCGGCTCCCGGGCCCCCTGCGCGCTCGGCCCACGCCCTGTAAAGGAGCTTCTGCTGTGGCCCGGGGAAGGGGCAGGTAGGGAGAGCGGCAGCCCGCACGGACCCGCGCGCTGTAGAGGTCAGTCTCGCTGCTCACACCCCTTCCCCATCCGCGCAGGAGCCTCCGAGGAGCCCCCCGCCCCCACCCCGATTGCGAGGGGCGCACTGGCTGGGGGAGCGGGTAAATAATTGGCCAGGAGCCAGGCTTCCTGGTTCTTCCTCCCCTTCCCCGCGGCTTGACTGCGCCCGGGGCTGCTGGGGCGGCGCAGCCCCTCGGGAAGCTGAGCCCAGGTAACCCGGCGCCCGCCCCGTGCCGGGTGTGGAGTCTGTGTCCCCGCGAACGTTCGTCTCCGAGGGTTTGAGTTGGTTCTCTCCCGGGTGGATGGCCATCCCCACTTCCTAGCCGGAGCCGGGCTGCAAAGATACCTCGGGTCCTAGCGCTGACGCGGCCGAAAACGCCACTCTCGAGCGCAGAACGCACCTCAAAGTGCTGGGTTCCTGGCGCGCAGCCCGGGAACGCCGAGGGGGGAGGGAGGACCGGGAGGGAAAGGCAGGGATGTGGCGGGGGAGCAG